ACAAAATTGTTTGATAGTTTAGGGACTAAAAACATATTTAACCGAACCCTAACACTTGACAATGACATGTGACACAATTTAATATGTGAATCCCTTTTTTAAAATTAAGAAAAAAATTAAAAAAAAAATCACGAAATAACACATGACATATACGTTCACTTGTTTTAACTATTTAAACCTATTAGAAAAGACTAAATTAAATAAAATTAACAAAAATTAGAAATTAATTAAACAAAAATAAAAACTAGAACCAGAAAAACTGAACGAATATATGGACCAAATTAATATTTAAAACTATCAATTTCATCCATAAAGATTACTCTCTTCTCTACTAAAATTAAATAATCTCTTAAGTATACATTAAGTTATTCTCAACTATTAGAAAGTACTCTAAATGATTAAGCTTTTACAAAATACATAAATTATTCTTTGAAAGATAATAAAATATACTTTAAACACTACTTATATAATATCTTATGTCATGTATTCTATTATGATATACCGTGATAACTTTTCTCATACACTATGAACGACCATATTTGCCTTTAATTACTATAGTATATTTGTTGATATGTTATATGCTTAGTCTTCTACATGTATTTTATGTTTATCTTATATATTTTTAATAGTGAATAATTAATTAAAAATTTATAATATAAGTTAGGTTGTTAATAAGTAGATGTGTTTTAGTTAGATATAATAATTTGACCTTCTTCCTAATACTTATTTACATTCACATCACATTCACATGAGTCACGTTGAAAATGTTTACATAAACATTTCTATTAAAAAAGTTCGTAAAACAAAAGTATCAACTAAAAATATCATAAACAACGACCAATTCATGAACTATATTATTTTAAGATAAAATAGTTGATTAAAATAAAAAATTAAAAATATTAATTAAAAAATATCATTCTATATATGAAAATTATTTAGTTAACTTAAATTTAAATTTGGTATGAGTAAAGTCGAGCCGAATTTGGATCAAGTTAAGCGAAGCTAATACCAAGCTAGTAGAGATAGGTCTATATCAGGTTGAGTTAAGTTAAACACACATTGGGTTGAGTCAAGATAGCGAACCTAGAAGTAAGTTTAGTATGATTTATGTAGGACTAAGTCAAGTTGAACTTAGTTGAGTTAGGTCAATGTCAAATTGAGTAAAGTTGGATCCACATTAAACCGACTCGAGTCAAATCTATGTTTGGCAAATTCAAGTTGGACACATGTTAGGCGTAGCCAAGTCAAACTCACATAAGGTTGAGTTATTTTACATCCACATTCTCAAGTCGAGTCATGTTGGGTCCACCTCAGGTTAAGTTGAGTTGAGCCTATATCGAATTAATTAGAGTCAAGTAGGGTTGGGTAAGTCAAGTCTTATCCACTTCAGGCTTAATCAAGTCAGACTAACATTGGATTAAGTCATTTTTGAACCCACACTTAGTCAAGTATAGTTGAGTCCAAATCAAGGAAAGTAGATTTGGGTTCATGTCAGGTAGGGTGGAGTCAAACCTACATTAGATTTAGTCAAGTCAAATCTATATTTAGCCTAATTAAGTTAGATCCACTTTAAGTCGAGTTTAATCAAGTCCAATTTGGATAAAATTTAGTCATATTTATCTTAAGCTAATTTGAGTTAGAGTGACATTAGACTGAGCTAGACCATATAAATAGTGTCGGGTCCATAATGGGAGTCGTGTGATAAGCTATAGTTTTAGAGGTGAAGTTATTCACACATGTTTCATAATTATATGAATATGATAGTCATGTGCGTGGTTGTATGCAAGCACGTCTATTGATCATATGCTTGTCTTTGTATGTCTATGCTATAAGCATCGAAACAAGATATATGCGTCTAATGTCTCTCAATCATGTTGATAATAAAGGAATTATAATAAACAAATACCATCAATTATATCGGCATATAAAATTAATAACTCGTGAAAACATATTATTTGATTTAATTCAATCAATCCAGGATATATCATTTAAAACGCAAACTTTCTCTATATATGCGACATTCAAAACTAAAAATAAAGGAAAGGATTGGTGCAAATCATATTATAACAAGAAAGATTTAAAAATGATTATTTTTTTCATATTGAAAATAATGGATAGAGAAGCTGTTCACATGATACTTTTTCTAAAGTTTGACATCTATAGGTTATTTTAAGAAACAGATAAACAAAAATTAGAGGCATTTTCATAACAATCTACTAAAGAAGGTCTTAAAGAGTCTTAGGAAAGAAAGAGCCAAAACCCTTTTTGCATTTTTCATATAAAAGGAGAACTTTAAATAAAGAACACCTTTCCCTCGTGACGATGGAATGAGTTTAGAAGCTGAAGGTATACTGGTAAAGATTGAATAAATGTAATTAAGATATTATTTCATATGAAAACTACGTACATAAAGATACAACACAAAATCAAGTTTTATTTTCTATAGTCTATAGTCTTTTTAGTTAATTATGATTTTTTCTAAAATCAAGTTTTATTTTTTTATCCATTCAATAATTTATTTAAAAAAAATGTCTGTTCTCGAAGTCTTACGTAGAATGGATTAGGATAGGTTGACTCTTAAAAACTAAATTAGTTCATTTTTAATTATTTTTTTATTTACTTTGCAATTTCTCTCCATAGTTTACAAGTTATATTTTACTAATATAATTTTTCTTTAATTATAAATACATAAATATTGATTTTATAAAATGTTATTTAAAAATAATTTTTTAATTATAATCCTATTTTAGATACATAATTTTATTATTTTGAAAACTTAAAATTATACACAAAAAGATATTATTAAGTTACAATTAGACTAATATATTAATTAACTTAATTAGAAAACTTTCAAATATTATTAAAAATATATTAAAAATAAAATGATCAACAGGTGAATATAAACTCTATGAATCCATCCTCATTATAGATATTTGGATCTGTAGACTTTTTCAGTTCCAACTCATATATATTAGAATAAAATTCTATAAGATAGATTAATTTGATAAATCTATCCAAATGTTAAATAATTAAATAATTATTATACCATTGTGACTGAATTTAACTGTACGATTTCACCTTAGTGTTTTGTGATTTCTATGTTGTTGTTTTTTTTCTTGCAATGATATCTTATTAATGTAAATAGATGAATATGCATGTGTATGGACACCTCTTGTAGATAAGAAGTTAATTGTCTAAGTCGTGGAATGATATTAGATTATTTTAGGTATAATTTTGGAAAAGATCATAGTATAGTAACTTGAAAATGTATATGTGTGATATTAATATAGCTTTATCTTTTGGATAACTACTAATATGGGATATACATTGGATTATTTGTTTTTTTTTTGCATATTTATAAAATATCTGTATTATGATATTAAAATGAATACAATTTACGTATTTAAAAACAAAATGTTTCTCTCCTATCACAGTTTTAAGAATATTCATATCAAACTTTGAACAATGATCAATTCAATTAATTAACTAATACAAATACTAATATGGATATACATTGCATTATTTTTTTTTTCATATTTATAAAATATCTTACTTTAGTTGTATTTAGTAGTATTATGATATTAAAATGTGTACAATCTACATATTTGGTTTATTTAAAAACTAAATGTATGTCTCTTATCATAGTTTTAAGAATATTCATATCAAAATTTAAACAATTAATCAATTCAATTAATTAACTAATACAAATCAAATCAAAATCTTCTAAGTAATTCATATATATATATATATATATATATATATATATATATATATATATATATAGTGTGTGTGTGTGTATTAAATTAAATTGAATCCTAATTTGGTTTCTAAAATTGCAAAAAAAAAAAATATAAAATACAAATCACAAATTAGAGAGAAAAAACAATAAACTCGAAGTGTTCAAATGAGAAGTGCAAAGCTAAATTCCGGTTATTTGATTTTAATTATGTGAATTAATCATCAAAAAATAGTTCTTCGTGAATAAAGAAAAAAAGAACACAAATGAGAAAAGTGGAAGAGATTATTGAAAAATTAAAAAAAAAAAGAGAGAAAAAATAAACAATTTCTTAAGTTAAAAAACTAAACTAATGGTGGTTTATGTTAATAAGTTTAGAACATATTTAAGTTATATATATTCTTTGTTATATAAAGTAAAGATAATCTTAAATGTGGTCTATAATTAAATCCATAAATTTAATTATAAAAGTCTAAGCTAGAATAAGAAAAATTGGATTGTGAGATCACTAAAAGGCATATGTAAAATGCTAACTGCCAAGAAAAAATTATGTTTAATGTGCTTGGCGAGCTTAACCTCTTACAGCCCGTTAATTTCTTGTCACCCCATTCATTTTAAAATACTTAGATCCATAAACCCAATTAAGTCCTCGGTAGTTTATAACAGAAGCTACGTTTTTGGCTTCTGCACCATGAATCCAAGACTCCAATAGCGTCACTGGTTACCAAAATCATAACAGCAGGTTGAAAAGTGCTAATTAACGGGTAACTCTGACTGGCATTACTTGCGTTTTCAATATAGGATTTTGTGAACTACAGAGTGTCAATCTCCAGATAAACCCCAGCAAGCACAGGGAGGAAGATTCTGCTGATAGCATAACGATAGGAAGCTTCTATACAACAAATTTAAAATCCCGAATCATCATATTGTCATTTCCCAGTTGTTAAATTTCCCATGTAATTTGATACATGTCGCAGTTCATATTAGACGCTAGCAAAGTAAGCATGCATTGAGTTGTCTTTCTTCTGTGTTGATAAGCCACGGAAAACAACATAAATCAAGAAACAATGATGCAATGTAAAACATTGTGATGTGGAGATAGACACCTACTCTGAAAGAAAGATACAAGACAGTTTAATGATATGCCTCTACATTGATAATAATATATGCTCAAACTTATCTGCGTTTATGGAGCCAAGGTATAAAACAGTGCAATAGACGGACAGAAAATTTTCGTTGACCCAAAGGAAGCCTTTCACTGATATTCTCCAAACCGATTAACTAAGAAATATTATACTCATTCTATTGATATTCCAAGAGCTTTCATGAGGAAAGCATACTCATATGCTGTTTCGTCACATTGAGCATAGTGACCACCTTCGCCAAAATGCCCTCCTACCATACTTGTTTTCATGATGACAGTAAGGGAACAACGAGGGCATGTATCATCTCGTACTTTAGCAACCCATTTAGCACCTTCCCAAACTCCAACCCTGAGGATGAATGTCAAATACTAACATCAACATTATTGAAGCGATTAGAAGTTGCTCGATGCATAATTAGGATGTAAAGTGTGCATTTCAATAATATTGTGAGTGTGATAGATGATTAGAAGGAATAAGATTACCTTGAATCATTAACTGCTGCCGTAACCAAAACTGAAGGAAAACAACTGTTTGGAGGAATGTTGTCATAAGGAGAATAACTAAGAATAGAATCCAGATTTGATAGTAGCTGAGGATTTCCGAATTCTTCATAGTCCAAAAGTGTGAGTGGTAGACTGGGATCCAACAATGTGTTGCATATATCAAGAAATGGTACCTGGTGTGTACAACCCATCCAATTATCATCGGGAGGTTTTTAAAAATATGAAATTATTTATAATGTGAACTGATAAAGTTAACTATCAGCTATAAATAAATAAAAAATGAATGAAATTATTTAATTTAATAAATATAACACTTTTATTAATTGATGCATAAAATGCAAAGCACACTCAAATCTACATGATAAATGTGATTGAGTTAAAGACAAATAACATTTTAGTTCATGGACATCTAAATAAAAATTTCAGAGGGAGAGAAAAGGAAAGGCAAACAGATTGAAAGAGCTATATAATACATTTTGTGAAAATAGTGAAAACTAGGTATAAGATTAATTTAATTTCCTTTGTGTTGAAAATACAAATAGGAAAATATATTTATAGTGAAGAATAATACAGAAAACTGTGGACTAAGTCCAAATATACATAATATTATAACTAAAATAAAATATTGTAACAAATAATATCCAATGATATCATAATAGTATGTAACACATTTCGAGGCTCATCTAGTGAGATATGATTTCAGATTATCAAAAGCTAATTTTGGTCCTCCAGAGGTTATTTTATAAAGTATGTTATTCATTAAAAAACATTTGAAATTAATTCTTCTCCAAATCTCAAGGTTCTTCCTCTCTAAGTAACCTTGTATAATATCTCTTTCGCTAAAGGTGTTTAGTCTTCTGAATTTAGACAGAAACATTGAATTTCAGCCAACAGTAGACACATGGTGCTAATTGAAGGGCTTAAATTTGATATATGCTAGATATTTTCTCACTGCTCACCATCTCTGAATAGCTCATAAGCAATCCTTCATTTTTTGTTACAATCACAATTATATTAAACTTACTTTTAATATAACAGCACGAAAGAGTTGGGGACACATATTCACAGCTGCACCAACCAGAAGGCCGCCTGCACTCCACCCAATAGCACAAAGAAGATCACTCTGAACATAACCCTTATTAACTAAGTAGTTGCCACAGGATACAAAATCAAATACTGAATTCTGTTTGTTTAATCCACTCCCAGATTTATGCCATGAAGGACCTCCACCACCACCACCTCTGTTACAACACAGATTGCCCCATAATTAAAATTCAAAAACATAAAACTTGCAAAGAACATAATAAAGTTATCCCATTTGTCATGGTCAACAGAACCATAAATGCAAAACATGTAAGCATATCATATGAAACAAGCCAGTACTCATATAAAAGGCCGACATGAAAACTAAACTGTAGAAATAGATGTCAGGCAACCAACCTTACATCAGCAAATGCCACTAACCAACCACGGTCCAGTAAACTCAGGCGATCTGAATACCAGCTCTTATCCAGATCTTCTCCGTACGCTCCATAGCCTACTAAGAGTCCAGGGGATTGACCCTTCTTCCAGGATTGTCTAGAGTACACAATGGTTAGTGGAACCATTACACCATCATGGGAAATAACTTCCTCCCTCTGACAACAGTATATTTGAGAAAAGTCCTTCCATCTCTGTGAACTAAAATTCGTGGCACATTCTTTCTTATCACTACATGCCTCTTGAATTGTACTCCTATTTAGCTCAAAAGTTGGGATGGACGACCAACCAACAGAATCACAGTTCACTTCCTCTTGATGCACAATAGAGTATGTATGTTTCGACATGTCATAGTCAACAACTAAATCTGGCATCTGTTCACTCACCCAAACCCCAGAAAATGAAAGAAGCTTTCAAACTAAAGCAGATAAATCATAGATATAATACTTCAAAAATATGCAATTCAACGAAATCATAAAAATTAAATGATAACATTCAAGACAGTAATACACATTTAATTAATTAAAATTACATATGCTCATTGAGTAGATTTGAAATGAGTCAATCTGCAACAATTGATTCAATTAGTAATAAAAAAAAATTACGAAGTCTGAAGCTCAACAATTATCACAACTCACAAGTTGAAGCACTATCAAATACTCAGCTCACACAATTATAAATAAATAGTATTTATAGAGTGGCATCACAATATAGATTATAAAGGGAAAAGGAAAAATTTTATTAAAAAATCTGGAAGGACGGAATTTGACAATGCAATTGCTATAAATGCCTCCACGGTCCTACTGTTCTTGCAAATACAACAAGAAAAGTCTTCTATTTTTAATATATTAACATTTTACCGAGAAAGTAAGTGGCAAAATTCAGTTAAAATATGATCTTTATTGGGTGCTTAAATATTTGATTTTCCTTAACAGAGGGGAGAATAGACGTGGATCAAAATTCTGAATCTAAAGGTCAAAATTTTGAACTTGAAAGACTGAAGCAGGGAGGGGCAGAAATCCTTGTTGTGATGGGATTGAATGTAATTTTTCCAAACTCTCTGCAGTGTTTTAGATATAATATATATATATATATATATATATATATATATATATATATATATATATATATATATATATATATATATATATATATATATACACATATATATATATATACATATATATATATATATATATATATATATATATATATATATATATATATATATATATATACATATATATATATATATACATATATATATATATATATAATTAGCAGAGTACAGCAAAACGGAATAGATGAAGTTCAATCTCAACACTTATTATAGTTTTATTCCTAATTTGGCAATATTTGCTATTGAAATTGAAATTGAAATCATGTTGATACGCTATTTCATGTGACTTTTAATATAAGTCGGATACAAATTACGATAAATTTTGTAAAACAAATCTTTGTGGATACAACACTTGTAAAAAGTATTACATAGACTACATATGCTTGCTTAATGGAAAATCTAAATAGAAAGTAATCTGCAGATAGAATACTGCAAGGAAACTTAAAATCATATAATATCCTTTTTGCTTGATGTTTAAATTTCATTTTAAGCAAGTAATCTACATTGCGGTGTCTGTTTTATTAAGCAAGATCAAGGGCATCTCAACAGGAAATATATATAAAAAATTGTCATAAAAATGAACAAAATTAAAAAGTTAAAGACTGCCATTCACTTTTTTCTGCAAACTTTGAGGGGCAACGATTTTCAAAGTAGTTCAGCTTAATATTAGCAGATGGAAGAAAAGTCACAAAATATATCTATAAATTACAAAGCAGGTTAAATTAAGAACTTTGTTTAAAAAGAAACTTTGAATATAATTTATAATCAAAACTTCAAATTATGTTTTTAAATGGATCATGGGAAATCATGCAAAGCAAAGCATTAAACACACACCCAAATACATATTGATAAACTTTAGAAAAATCAAGGACATGAATTCTTACACATGTATTCAGTACCATCCACAGAACACCCACAAAGTTCAATATTAGTACACTATTATTGTAAAATCTTTACATACATATTTACAAACACAAATTATGAAATCATCTGAGTTTACAAATTGTGTATTGCATTCCTAATTATTAGTAATCATACCACGGGTGATGAAAGAACCACACGGTAAACCACACGGAGGAAGTCATGATTTGAACCTGGACTGACACTGCATGTATTTGATGGCAGAGGAAAGTACCATGGTTTCAGGTCTTGAATATATGATTGATGCTACAAAGAAATTCAGGGTCATTGTTAATGTATGTAGGTTTTAAATTGGAACAAAAAAGTTCATTTATGTTTCATCGTAATGAAACTTTGTACAGAAAATAAGCACCGGTACATTCCAAGGTCAATTGCAAACTACTAGCCAAAGAAAATGTCTAAATAGTTCACAATCTCAGAAATAGATCCAATCCAATGAAGTTCATCAGCCACTTTGGAGTTCAACGTCCATATTCAAATTCATGAACCACTTTGGAGTTCAACATTCATATGCAAAGGCCTACAAAGATGATTATCCCACCTCTCATTAATGATCTTTCAAACAGATTCATAACCATGAAAATACCAATAATGTTAAATTGGAAACAACTACACAAATAAATGTTTAATTTTGAACGGGAAAAGGTTTAGAAGTTTTACTTTTTCTTCATATCATTAAATTTATATTTATATTCCAACTCTTGATCAATGGTCGGATGTTCTGACCTAGTCTCTACCTTCAGTTTGTTTTATGTTTCTTCAGTGCAAACTCAATGTGAACAACTTTTGTTCTGAAAAATCTTCTCCTTGAGTTTGAGGGGGATGTTAGTAGAAACAAGTTAGTTTGTACAGTTTATATAGACATCACATGTAAGTCATTTTGTACAGTTGTAGGTTTTATTAATGAGCTAGTTAGTACAGTTGTCAGTTTGTGTATATAGCTGTCAGTAAGCAATGCCTATAAATACATTTTTGTACTCATGTTTTCAGTGATAATAAAATTCTCAGTTCATGTTTAGTTCATCATCTGTAATTCTATCTTCACTTTCGTTCTTCTAAGAAAATTCATAAACTCGTACAAGTTTGCTAGTTGACCTGTTGGTTTGATGGCCATGTTCGTATTCACATAATACTATAGCTAGTTTAGGAAATGAGAAGATGAGAGACACTGAAATTCACTATAGACATGTAGATGGTGCATAGTATACATGTCATTGCAACATAGTACAATTTAATATCTAATGGCTAAACTGGAAATACAAGTATAGACACGCCAATACAGCAATTCCGATTCTGGTTTTCTGGCCATTTCAATTATACCCTTCAAAACATTTCTACATCTTCCTTAAAGTACTACATTCGATTAGCATTGGTTAAGCATTATACACCCTGGAAGGGAAGACAGTACAAACTTGTTGGTGTCATCATATTGGAGTATCTTTTGTGGTACACATGGAATATTCATTAGGATCAAATGGTTTAGATGCTATGCTACAGAGGTGAACAAGAACAAAATATGAAGGCATAATAAACCTTTCAATACAGTTATAAACAAAAATTCCTAATAAATTGAAATTCATATACCTTCAAATCAATTTGCAAAGGAAAGTTCAATGAGCATAGCATAGGAAAACCTTTCTTATTGAAGAAAAGAACCAAATATCCATCAAAAATGTCCATATCATATATGCCCATGTCATTGTCTGGAAGGATGATATTCTGAAGTTAAATAAGCATAATGAAGAGGATTTAGAGACAATTCACACACCACTCACAGGTAACAGAACTCAAAATTGGGATGTATAAAACTAATAAAAAATACCTGCAATTTAGTTGACTCTATATCTTCAACCCGGCATCTAACCAGGTAATAACCTTGACCAGACCACTGGGATTCAGGAAGAGGAGCATTGGTAAGAATATAAAATAAACCAGAGTGGTGTTCCACAAAGTACTGTACACCAGAAGTACGACGACATAACTTCTGTAAACCGTTTGATGGATTGACGGAATCTATAACATAAACCTGAGATAAGAATCAAGATCAACAAATCACTAGAAAAGAATAATCTCATTCTGTATTCATAAAACAAGACAAGTAAATCCCTTCCTCGGATGAAGTTCTTGAGTTTGAATTCACTGTTATGAATTTCCCATCTTTCGTGCTTGTTATGTCCACACAAAAACTGGAATCATTTTCAGTAAATACTGGAAATTCATACAGATGGTCATATCCAAGTTTTCTGCAGAGAACTCTGCCATAATAACATATGACAGTTAGGATAGCCTTACACTGAAATCCATTCCTTTTCCCACGACTGAAAAACTAACAAGGAAAATCTGATGATAAGACTTTGCCTGTAAGGTCGCTGATTTTCATCCGATTGAGTATAAAACAGAGAGCTTGCATCTTGAGCCCATGCCAAACTAACAGCACCATCAACTTTTGATTTTGGGTCTATTAATCCACTTCTGAGGTCTTTTACCTGAAGTGTGTATTGTTCCCCACCAGAAATATCAAGTGTGTATGCAAGGTAGTTGTGGTCAGGTGAAACTCTGCATGTTCCAACATTGACATACCCTACAAATTTTGACTATATTGTCAACAATCATCAATAGGAGAGAAAAAAACAAGAATTTAAAGTACAATTTGAAGAATGAGTACAAGTGATCCCATGAAGGCTAGCCAAAGGACCATGCTATAGATCTTCAATATTCAAGAGAAGTAAGTTTATTAATCAAAGATACCAAGCTTGTATCTGTTTGGATGTTTGCAAACAATTATAGAAGCAGTAAACTGCTACTTGACTAGCTCCATTAAAATATGACAGAGTAAGGATGCCATGTTTCTGTCAGATACCCATCCTTTATTAGTGATAACTTCCTTTCCACAACTATTATAGCTGATTTTGAAAAGGAATGAAAACTCAAAATAAATGGTGAGGATAGAAGAGACATACCATATTTCTTTGCAAGTTCATTCCAGTCAAGTAAAATCTCCTCCCTTTCTGATCTTGTCATTCCATAATGAAAAAAAAAATTCTTCAGCCAACCAGTTTTCTCAATTTCCAGCCTCCTACAGAGTACAGGATATTCCTTTCCCTCTGGAATATACTGGTAATACATCCTGAGAAAGAGGAGGTGAATATGAAATCAATTAAACTTGGAGTCAAAGTAAATAGGAACGGTACATTTCTGTAGTTAGCGGACATTAGGTCCCAGAAATTGTTTTTGTATTCATTTTCTGTTTTCACGTTTTATTACAAAAGTGTTACCTTATGTATACTTTGTTTCTAATTAAACTTTTGAAATCCGGAAATTAAGTGAAAACAATGGCATGTTTGTAGTCTAAAGTGAGAGCAGAAAAAGAAAACAAAAGGAATTCTTAAACCAAATGGTTCCTTAGTTTTATATTTTTACACCGCTATCAACAGTCCTACATATGCATTATATTAGTTCTTCTATTAACCAACTGACATAGTACACAACATTCAGCACGAGACACACAATTCTTCCACCTCAAGCAACACATGTGGAAGCATATCAGGTGAAAGAAGGCAATCTTGAGAATAAAAGAATACATCAACAGTCAAGATTAGATCCAAGTAAAATCATTTTCAATTTTCCATGTATAGTTGTATGGTCAAAATTAGTTATTCTCTCCTCTCACATCCAAAAAAGAGAACAATGTTACAACATTTGCTAATATAACACTAGCAAAATCAGGATATCAATTATCTTACATCCAAAGCAACTTCGTAAATAAAAACTGTCAAAAGCAAAAATTCGTCCAGAAATATCTTCTCAGCTCTGACATCTCATCACTAATCTACTTCATCTTTTATTGCAGGATAATTCACTAATTTAGTCTCTAAATTTATAAAAAGAAATAGACTTTAATTCATATGCGTTGTTATTGTAAATTTTTTATAGGCTAAACAACCCGTTTTCTAACAAAGACTTCTTTAACACACTCTTATTAATTACTAAATTTATTGAAAACTACAAAATCATGAAAGAAATCTTTAAGCAGAATTAGACTCATAAAGATTCACCATTTTCAATAAATTTCAAGTGATAATGCGTATTCAAAAGCGGGTGTAGCATTTCTCAAAACTTTAATGAAATCGACGAATCAGAAATCATGATAATGGTAGGTTTAAAGCTAACGAGGGTAGAACTCAACAAACGCATCATACATGGCAATTATACATCATAATTGGTTCGATAACGCAGTCAAAAAGTCAATAATGGATGGACTATTTTTTCAATGAGCATTCCTTAGTGCATTTGTGGATTAAAATGACTTTATTATAACTTCACAGACTAAGTTAACCTATATTGGTAATTTCAAAGACTACCAAGGTGCATTATACTTCACTTTTTTTCATAGATGAATAAAACAAAAAGAAAAAAATGGAGAAAGGTGGAACTAACCAGGGTCCCCAACGTTCAGGGGGAGTAGAAACGGTGGGCGGTAACCGTGCTTTCATCTCAGAGGACAGAAGTGAACGGAGTTTGAGACTGTCAGCCATGAAGCCATCTGCGTAGACGTTTTCGCGGTGGAGATGCTCCATCAAATTCGGGTCATCAACGTTGGACATCCAGTGATATGGGTCCTGCCACGTCTTACCGTGAACCGACACCGTGAATGGCACCTTCTTCGGAGACGGCGGAGATTGCGGCGGGGGCGGAGAACTGCTTCTCCGCCGGCACGTCGAAGAAAAGGAGGAAGAGTGTGTGAATATGATATTGCAGCATGACTTGGGGAGTGTGGTTTTGGAGTGGCCAAGTGCGCGAAATGCCATGGAAGCAGTTCTCAAATTCGAACTCGGTCACGTGTAGTTGACGGTAACCATCACATTAGGGTGATTCATTTGACTAATAATACTTTCACACACATTATAGGGTAAAATAATTTGTAAAGGAAAAGCAAGAACAAATAACAATGTCGAATCGAATCGAATCAGTGCAAATAATTTTTGCTTATGAAAATATTATTACTCTTCCTTTGTTCTGCATACAACATTTTTTTAAGTAACGAGCTACTTATTTAAAAATGATTTTACAATGCAACTAAAAAATAATTATAATTACACTTTGTTATCTATGAACATTCTACTTCCTCAAATTTAATCGTATTTCCTTCTCGTTTATAGGTGAATCTCTTCCATAATTTTTTTTATTAAAAACATTGTAAAACTTATTGATTGAAACTTTATAATACGTGGTAATTCGGAATGTTGAGATTCTACAAACGGTCCTTAGTCATCCAAAGAGACATTTAGCACTTCTTTCCACATAAAAAGTTCAAATTATAACATATATTTTCAAAAGCACGTACATAATCCATTTTGATGATCAACAACTTCATTCCCTTGTTTTCCTCAACAGCATAGATGAAGAAAGAGAACACTCTCAAAAAAACAAGTGGACTGATAAACATAAATAATGTTACTTGTTAAACTCTCGCAACTCTTGTGTATTATCTCTGAAGAAGAATACAATAAGATTCATGTTTACATAGGAACAAAATAAATGTAGGACACCTTAATTTTCACGTACGAATGATCAAACGAAGTCAAAAGGAATAAATTGAGCTTGCTGACAAGACAGTATGAACTGTTTTCTATGCTTAAAAATGAAAATGTTCAAAGTACGTTAAGTAGATTCCAAACGATCTTAAACAAGCTGAAATTGTTGGAAAAGTCATATGAAATATTCGATCATATTAATCAAATCTTGTGAAGTCTTTCGAAACAATAGAAACCTTAGATCATAACTCTAGATACGTCAAAAAATCTAGTTATTGTCATTTTTGTGAGTAAGATTTTGTGACCATATTGATCATATTCGAGCTTCTATAAATAAGATTGTCCTTGCTCCTTCAATTATTCTTATTTCATCTTTGATTTTCTTCGTATATTCTTTCTAATTATGTAGTCTTGATAAATCACATTACATATTTTTATTATACCTTGAAAAAAGTTGTATGACACAATGAATAAGTCTACAAAAACAATGTTTAATATTGTCTTAGAAAGACATTATTCATGTTATTAGTCATATTTTATGTAGTTAAAAAGAGAGATTCATTAAAAAAATTAATTGAGTTCTTAAAAAAATTATCAATACTTATCCATCCATACATATTACCCCATTAATATCAAACATTCAAAACTTAACAAACAATTTTTTTTTATTTAAAATATTAAAATTCCAATAACACACTCTTTAATACTACTAAATCAAAAAGAGGCGTGTTTTGGGAAAACCATCAAATTTCATGATTTTTAATATATTTCAAGATGCAAAAGAGTGTGTTGAGTGGAATGCATTAAAAATTACATCCCAAACAAAACAAAAAAAGAGGCTCATATTATAAAATAGGAATTAATAATGTATAATTTATCTTAATTTTGTTTAAGCACTGAGGATCACGCGCTAAAGATTATATGATATATATGAACGTTTTGAATTCATATATTTTCTGTGAAAGAAACCAATTAACCTCAAAGGCATACTCTTGTTTTTCTCCTTTGCTGCAATGAAACACCACTCCTTGTTGTTTCTTCTTTTGATATTTCTCACACACTCACCTTCCTTCTATGCAACACAATCTTGGACAACAATTCCAAGGATGAGTCCAATTCCTGAATGGGAAGCATCACTACACGATCACCCACTTGCGGTTGATGCAGAAGAAATCAAATCATTTTTCTTCAAACAGACTTTGGATCACTTCAACTATAACCCAGAAAGCTACACAACATTCCCACAAAGATACCTTATAAATTTCAAGTACTGGGGTGGTGCCAATTCTAGTGCCCCCATATTTGCATACCTTGGTGCTGAAGCACCCATAGATAACTTCCCTAACAGCATAGGATTTTTAACTGATAACGCTGCTTCCTGCAATGCCCTCTTGATATACATAGAGGTAATTTGTATATACATAACTCTTTCTTTTCACTTTTTCTTGATTTTCTGGTTCTAATGATTAATTCTTCAATTGGATTCTTGTAGCACCGCTACTATGGGAAATCAGTGCCATTTGGATCCAGGGAAGAAGCATTGAAAAATGCAAGCACTATTGGGTATTTCAACTCAGCTCAAGCCTTGGCAGATTATGCAGCAGTGCTCAAACATATCAAGAACACATTACATGCCCAAAATTCCCCTGTGATTGTAATTGGAGGATCATATGGTGGAAGTTAGTTATCAGCATTCCTTCATGGTGTTTCAAATTTGTACTCATTAGTTGAGTTCAACTTTCATACACTGTAAAGAGTTTTACACAGTCAACTAATCAGAAATGATTACTGATATAACATTTAAGATGTTATCATCATAAAAATCAGCAAACTTAATGTACATAACAGAATCTGATTAGATCATAATAAAAATGATTTTATAAATGATTTATTGATGTGGAAATAGGTTTGTTTTATGCAGTGCTTGCCTCATGGTTTAGGCTGAAATATCCCCACCTGGCCATTGGTGCTTTGGCCTCATCAGCACCAATCCTATACTTTGATAACATCACGCCACAAAATGGTTACTACTCTGTTGTCACCAGGGATTATCGAGTAATTCACCATCATTTGATACTTTTGTCATATATTTATTTTACTTACTTTTCATGAAATGCTTATTTTGATGAAGAAATTATATGCAGGAAGCTAGTGAGACATGTTACAAAACTATACTGCAATCTTGGAGTGAAATTCACAGAGTAGCTTCTCAACCAAATGGTTTGGTCACTCTCAGCAAGAGATTCAACACTTGCCAGTATGAACACCATCTTCTCTCTCCCTTTTATTTCTAAGAAATATGATGGATCTTTAGAAAGAATTCCTCAAATAGAGATTGGATAATTGTGATCGGAGTCTAATTCATATGAAAAATTATACTACTTTTCACTGAGTTTTTATTTTCAACAAAATCTCTAAAAAGTAGCAAGTTACAGATCATCAGATGTTGACATTCTTTATTAAGGGATGAAATCGATCTAAAACTGATTGTAATGCAATAGTACGGTGTTAAGCTTTATATGTGATTACTGAGTGAGTGTCACATTTTGCAGTTTATTAAAGCAACCTGATGAATTGATAAACTTCTTAAGGTTGATGTATGGTTATGGAGCTCAATATAATCAACCTCCAAAATATCCAGTTAATGTGATTTGTGGTGGCATTGATGGAGCTTCTCTTGGGAGTGATATCCTAAGTAAGATATATGCAGGTGTTGTGGCTCTCAAAGGAAACACCACATGCACTGTTAATGGCCCAACTAATGAATCTGAGACAACTGTGGGATGGAGATGGCAGGTAATTATGAATTAATTGCATTTACAAGTTTAAGCTTTTAGCATTTTCCTTAATTTGCTTATACTTGGGTGACACAGTTTGGTGAAAGCCTTAAATTTTTCAATGAAATTTGTTATCTCATTGTGATGGACATGACATTCCAACAGAAACACTATAAATGCCATGCCCTAAGAAAAATGAAAAAATTAAATATGGTTCAAGTTTGTTAATTTTAGTTGTCCACTGGCTACCTTACTTTTTTTTTGTTTTAAATCATTGTTCATTATGTCTGATGAGACATTCTAATAATTTTTGGGTAAAAATAATTTGTATAAATTTTTTCTTAAAATAGCCAGCAGCGTATGAAAACTTGTTCTTCCTATGGTTAAGTATTGTTTTATAGGTTATTTGGGCATATCATTATAAAGGTGTAGGGTAGATATTTAATGAATTAGGTTTTGCATTGATTTTCCAATGAAAGGTACCACATGCTCAATAATTGTTTCAGAAAGAAAAAAAGTTAGGAAAACTAAGACAAGATACAATGGTATACACGAATTTGAATCTATTTTTACTCATTTGTTTACTGAAAAAACTAAAAATAATGTGTTTACTTTTTAAGAATTTTTTTAAAGTAGTCAGCATTTAAAATGATAAATGTTTAATAACACATTGTTTGATTCACCTTTTTTAATATACATTTTACTGTTGGTTGAAAATATCATATTAAAATCAATCAGTTAAATTTTCTCATTGAAAAGGTATTTTTCGAACATAATTAAAAAAAACACTAATTATAAGTTATCTTGGAACTTAAAATTGTTAAATTATTTAATTTGAGTTTTAATACTAATGTGGTGAGTACATTGTTTAATTCAGACATGTAGTGAAATGGTAATACCCATCGGCATAGGAAATGATACAATGTTTGAACCTAATCCTTTCAACCTAAAGAGGTATGTGGAAGGCTGCAAGACAACTTTTGGTGTTTCACCTCGTCCTCATTGGATCACTACATACTATGCTGCCCATGTAATTACTCTTTCCTTTATTTTTATTTTTTTATATTTTAAAATATTAATTATCAATATGTTATTGTTCTTCCTTCTAAACAAATTCATTCAACCAAATTATAAATACACTATCTTTTATAAGAAATTTGTCTTCAATTATGTTCGCAATACTCTATCTATATTGTATTTAAATTTGGAACTCTAATTTATTGTTGCTAATGCAGAATATTAAATTGGTACTTGGAAGATTTGGAAGCAACATTATTTTCTCCAATGGGTTAAAGGACCCATATAGTATTGGAGGGTAAGTAATAACCTAAAATACAAAACTTAATAAAAATTAAAAATTTATAGTACAATTTGTTTAGAGCAGAAAAAAAAATGGAAAAAGTGTTTTACAATTGTTTTAAAACATGTATTTTGACATCTCATCTAAATTATGTAAATATTATCAAAAAGGAAAAAAATATATGTAAGTCAAACTAAACCATGTACAAAATTTACTAAGCAAACTTCTTTCAAAAAATTAACTTACTCTAAACATTTTACTATTCCAATGTCAATAAATGGAAATACAAA